GGCAGGATAAGAAGGGCATGTCAGAGTGGACTGCCAGCCTAGGACCAGGGTCTGAGCAGGAAGGAGGGCTCCCCACAGAGGGGCCGGGCACTGAGACTCAGCCCCAGCGGGTGAGGAAGGCATTCACTCGCAGTGTGGTTTCATGTGTGTGGTTTATTGGGGGGAGTGGGGAAGGAGGCAGAGCTCCAACAAGGCAAGGGGGGAGCCTGCATAAAGGGCTATCAGAGCCCAGGCAGGAGGAGGAGAGTGTCCACAGGGAGGAAGAGTCAACAGGGGGAAGGGCAGAATGGATTGCAAACCGGAGCATCAGCCAACTGAGCAAACAGGTTGAGGAAATGGGCACTGGTTTCTCACTGTCAGGGAAGGGAGTCGGGGCACATGGAGAAAGGGAGGAAGGTTTACAAAACCCCTGTGCTGGTGAATGGAACTGAAGAAATCAGCGTGATTCCCTGATAGAGACAGACATGTAAATAAATACAGACATGTATGTACATTACCCTGCTGCGCCATGGAGGGCCTGAGAGCAAGGACACCAACAGAGACAAGTGCACCTTCCCTTCTCGGGGGGTGGCTGAGCTCACAGCACAAGAGTGTAGACATGTCTGTGACTTTTCCCGCCGTAACGAAGAGGATACCTGGAAATGAAATTGGCAAAGGAGGGAGAAAGTATAGAGACAGGATCCCAATGACATCATTTAAATCCCTGGAGCCAGCCATGCCTGGAGCCTATTTGTCAGTGAACTCTTTCTTTCTTTCTTTCTTTCTTTCTTTCTTTCTTTCTTTCTTTCTTTCTTTCTTTCTTTCTTTCTTTCTTTCTTTCTGTAAGCCGGGGCTGGTTGAGTTGTTGTCACTTGCACTGGAAAGAGTTTTGATTATTGATATCCTCAACAAATTCCTGATAATTTATTTTAATTAGTAACAACCTCAAATATTAGGACATCTTATCTTTTTAGAGGCATTTGTATATCCTTGCAATCATTCGGTTAGCAAGGTTTTGTTGTGTTTTTCCCCCCAAAGTTGTGGATCTGTTTTATTATCCAACTGGAAAACTAGACACTCCATCAGTCCAAGGGGCCTGAGGGGGCCGAATCCTCCTCCTTGTGGGCACAGACTCCAGCCACACCCCAAATAGCAAGTATTTACTGTATGTCTACTATATGCCGGGGCAACATGGTGTTCTTGGGGTATGCCACTGAGGAAAGGCTGAAAAGAATTCCTGAACTGTGGAATTGCCATTCCAATGGAGCCAGCTGGACCATAAACAGCAAATAGTGATTACATAAATACAAGACAACAGATGCTGTGGGAGAAATAGGGAAAGCAGAGCATGGTAAGGGCGGATGGGCATTCAGCATAGGAAGGGGGCCTTGCAATTTTAATAGGGAAGTCAGGGCAGAACACGATGAGAACGTTACAGCTGAGCCTGGCCTGCAAAATGGAGGCATTGGAATATATCATCAGGGAACTGCCAGCGCAAAGGCCCTAGGCCTAGGCAGAGGCATGTCTGGTGTGCTCAAGAAGCAGAAGTCGCCGTGGCCAGAGCAGCATGGCTAGAGAGCTGGGATTGGTGGGGTCTTCAAAGAAAAGCTTTAAAGCATTTAAATGGTCAGCTTTGACTCCACGAGAAAGGAGCCACATCACTGTCCGCAGTGAACTGCAGTCTGGGGTGTTGAGAGGATCACTCTGCCTGTTACACTGAGAATGGATTGAGAGGTGGACTGGGAAGGGTGAGAGCAGAGGGAATAGGTAGGAACAGCTCAGATGAGAGAGCGTATGGCCCAGGCAGAGTAATTTCAGTGAGGAGTCGGAAATAATTCTGGGGTTTTGTGCTTGAGCAGCTACAGCAATGAATTAAATGGGAACTGCCACCGAAGGAGAGATTTGTGGAGGAAAGAGCAACTCTAAGCAGCAAGGCTGACCAGCAGTTACATACAGCAATGTGAAGTTCCCAAGATAAATGAGGATGATTTTGTTTACCCTCTGCAAACCTTTACAGAATTAGCTGGTATTTAATAGCTCACTGGAGGATCACTTTCTGAGCACAGGGCCATCAAGATCATGCCAGAGGGTCACGGAACCCTGGTGTGTTATTCCCAACACTGCTGCCTCCACCCAACCCCACCCCACCCTACCCCCTCCCCCATGCTCACTTGTTCTCAGAGTGCAGTCTGGCCACCCTGGGGGACCTCAATACTCCTTCATCATATCTACAAGATAAAAATTACTTTTATAAGAATATTAAGGCATTATTCACCTTTTTTCACTCTCATTCTCTCATGAATACACAGCAGAGTCCCCTAGAGGCTACATGACATGTTTTATCAGGATAAACTGAATGCAAAAGTAGATATGAGAACACTGCTGTCTTCTATGATCCGTGATATTATGATACAAGAAGAAATAGATAGTATTGGGTCTTTTTCTCCAGTTCCTGGAACAAGAGCTCTTAAAATTCTTGCAATTTCCTGAGAGGGAGGGCAGAGAGGAGCATCTGTATGAGTCCTAAGAAGCCCCTTTCAACCACGCGTGCTACGCTAAGGAGGTGACTATTGCTGAGCCCCTTGATAGCTTCAGGATGGGGGCCAATTGGCCTGGGAACCAACCATGTCATCAGAGGGTGGGAACTCTCAGGCCCACTCCCCAACCTGCAGGGAGGGGAAAGAGGCTGGAAAATGAGTGCATCACCAATTGCCAATGATTTAACCACCTTAATGAAACCTCCATATACTATTGTAGTAAACACCTAACCTAGTGGTCCGCAAACTCATTAGTCAACAGAGCCAAATATCAACAGTACAACAACTGAAGTTTCTTTTGAAAGACAAATTTTTTTTTTAACTTAAACTGTATAGGTAGGTACATTGTTATTAACTTAATTAGGGTACATGGTATTTTGTGGAAGAGCCACACTCAAGGGACCAAAGAGCTGTATGTGGCTCGAGAGCTGCAGTTTGCCAACCACTGACTAACCCACTAGCTTCAGAGAACGTCGGGGTTCTTGGCCACACAGAGGTGTGGGGAGGGTGGCGAGCCCCAGAGGGCAAGAAGCGCTGTCCCATTCCCTTGCCTTTCATTGCATCTCTCCCATTTGCCTGTCCGTTGGCATCCTTCACAATAAGCAGGCTGATGCAAGTGTTCGCTGAGTTCTAGGAGCTTTTGCAGCAGATTCTTAGACTGGGGAGGGATGGAGGGCACTGGGATCCACATGCTCTTGGTCAGAAGCATGGGAAGCCTGTGGGATGGAGCCGTCCTGTGGGACTGGGCCGGCTGACAGGTGGTGAGTGTCAGACTGAATTGGTGGGGACTTCCAGGAATTGGGAGAATGGGCTGTTGGTGTGGAAAAGATGCACACAGTTGGTGTCAGAAATTCTGTGAGTAAAATGGCGCATAAGCCAACATTAAAAGAAAATTGTACCCTTCCTAGTTTGGCTCAGTGGCTAGTGTCAGCCATCAGACTGAAGGGTTCTGGATTTGATTTCAGTCAAGGGCACGTACCTTGGTTGCAGGCTAATTCATGGCCTTCATCCGGGCACATGAGGGAGACAACCAATCAATGTGTCTCTCTCACATCGATGTTTCTCTCTGTGTGTCTCTCCCCCTCCCTTCCACTCTCTCTAAAAATCAATGGAAAATATCCTCAGGTGAAGATTAACAACAACAAAAAGGAATTTTTCAAAACTGTAAAGCTACTCTTATCACTAAAAATTTTTGATTTGGTAAATAAAGTTGCCAAAAGTAACAAAACACTTCGTGTTCACCTGTGATGTGGTTTTGTTACTTTTAAATTGATTCGTTTATACCTAATGCAATCAAAGTCAATGCATTCAACCACTTGGGGTGCTCCGTGACCTTCCGGAGAGGAGGTGGGCACCAATGGCTTGAGAACCACCTGCAGGCTTCTCTGAGGGGCAAAGGTCTCCTGCCCAGGCGGTGCTCTGGCCTCTCAGCAAGTTCCCTGTTTGTGGACACACAGCCATCTGCAGGCTTAAAAACAGAACTGACCTTCTTTCTCTGCCACAACCTCCAGTTGGGGGTGAAATGAAAAGTTGGTCCTCACCAAAACCTTTCCCTCACAACAAGGAATTTAGGAAAATTAATCAAGTTTCCTTCACAGCTGGCTCCCCAGGTGGCTGAGACCAAATTGCCCCACAGCCCCTCAAGCTCTCCTTCATGAAAATAGATTCGAGGATGGAAATAATGCTCACAAATGCCAACATACAAAATGGGCAAAGAACTATCAATAGTTGTAACTTCCTTCAACAAAATCTAAAAGGAATAGAGAATGTTAATTTTTAAAGCTACATCGAAAATTATATTGATAGACAGCAAATACAGATTTATATCCTAAGCAATTCCTGGGTTCCGTGCTATATTTACAGGCTTTTCCTGTTGGTTTGAGAATACGTGTGGCTCTTTTTAATGACACATTTCATCTTTTTTCTACAACTTCCTAACCCAGTATGACTTTAGCAGTTCTTAAATGACATGGAATAGAATCTACAGCCTAAGCAAACTGTTCTTCCCAAATTCCTTTCCACGGAAGTGATAAAGTGATGCGACAATTTTAAAAATCACCCACCTCCCTCAAAGTACTAATGTATAAACCATACGCACACTTTCTGGTTTGCTTCTTAAAATTATTTCTTACATGTAGCAAAGTTTTCTTTAAATATAGGGGGCTTTCTGGCTCGGAAATCACATTATGTTAACAACACGTGAGGCAGGCTTTTAGAATTTTTAGTGAAAATACAAAGAAGGAAAAGTTTTAAAGGAAAACCCATGCATTGTTCAGTAAGAGACAGACACAGCACACAATGTAAAAATCCAGTAGAAAGCATTTGCTACAAACAAATCACCATGGTAAGGGTTTTACCTTACATGTTGCTTTCTGAAGTAGAGATCAAATAAATTATTTATATATATATATATATATATATATATATATATATATATGTCATAACTACAAATGTAAATGGTTTAAAAACATAAAAACCAATCATAGAGATGCAAATAACTCACCGAGGCACTGAAAAGGAGAATTATCTTCCTTTTGCTTTTCTTCTTTTTCTAGTTTTCTACAGTGTGTATTACCCTAGTGACACAAAGAAAATAGGTTACACTCTAATGGCCCACACATAAAATGAGCACAATGCAGGTTGAACCATCATGTAGAATATCTATCACTCTTTTATGATTTGATCGCAGATGTCCCAATTTTTGTTACATAGATATTTTACATTTCTTTTTTTATTTTCAAAGAGATATTGTGGAAGAAGAAATTGACAGGTGGATAGATTAGACTCAACTCTTTTGTTAATGCCCTTGGAGTCTTTTATATAGATCTGAGTTTAATCTCTTAAGAAACTTAAGAGAAGAAGACATGAAAGTATGTAAGATTAGACTGCAAAATAATAAGACATGATTTGTTTTCAATATCAAAATGTATCTGGAACTCAAGTTCTTCAGAGTCAAAGTTGTATTTCTTACAGAGTTTCAATAACACAAATCTTTTAGTTTGAGGGTGAATTTTATTTTTGGAAACAACCAAAAGTCATCCGAAGCCAAGTCTAATCAAGCAGGAAACTACTCTTCGGTTAAAAATGAAGTGCAATTGTAGAGTGAGGAGATAAAAAATATAAACTAGCTAAGAAGTCATCCATGGTGGAATTTGTTGGGAATTTTGAGGCACTTTTATAAGAAAAAAAAAGTAGAGCCTCACCAAAAGAATGCTGGTTCATCATTATCGGTCACCAAATGAGGGCAAAACAGTCTGAGACTCCATATATCCTAAACTCATCGCTAATCCCTCTATGGGGACATCTTCACTCATCATAACTCTATGCCTTCTCCTAGAAAATGGTTTTAAATTCTGTCCTCTCTTCAAGAAATTGAGGTCAACCATTCTTAAATGATCATCTCCTACACATTTCACTTGAATTTTGGGATGATCTTTCTGATCTCTCTGAGTAAGATTATTAGTTGTTCTAACCTCTTCCATTCTCAGAAACCCTGTCTCAGCAACCAAAGAGTTGGATACTCTGGAGGTGCAATTATTTCTTGTTAACTAAAACCAATCAAAGGACTGGTAAGCTTCTGGATGGGTTCATCTCCTTCTAGGATGCATTTTTGCTCCTGAGGTTACCTTTCACCTGGCATCTTCTCTCCATGATGCTGGAACCTGGGGCCAAGCAGCCAGCACCATTCATGTCAGAAATTGCCTTTTCTAGATTTTTACTCAGTAGATTTTGTGAATAAAAAAATCAGCCCCCAAGTGTCTCCCAGGAACCTTTCCAACAAGGGAACCAGCAACTGTGGTCCCACAGTCCTCAGGACTCTTGATAATCAAGTATACTAGGGTCCTGGAGTGTGGCTGAGCTGAACAGGATCAGATCAAACTAAGTCTCAAGACTCCATCACCTCCAGTAAACTTTTCAAAAAAGAATATCATCATGATAACAGCAAGTTGACACACAAAAAACTCAATCTCAGCCTAAAACACCTAGTCAAGCTTTGAAAAATTTAAGTTTCAAAAATGAAAAGGAATGAATGAGAAGTATAAGATGGCGGAAACCACGGTGACTGCACTTTTCCTTAACCAGACTCAGTATGCTCTGTTGATGGAACTTCGTTCTAGTTTCAGCAAACAGTATTCATTTCAAAGACTCCCTATTTTGTCTACCTGAATTTATAAACATGGCTATGTGCTAATAAACAAGACCTATAAATCTCATCACTCTACACACAGAGTTGCTCTTTGTCCAGGCTGAGGTGCGGGGGGGGGGGGGGGGGGAGATGTCAGGAGATGGGGGGGGAAGATGTCAGGAGATGCCAAGAGAAAAGCCTGAAGGAACATCACACAGACTCCCTTCAACCACTCAGGCCTTCAGCAAGCCTCCAGTGGCCCATTTCTGCTCAAGATCCATCCAGTTCTTCCATTTATTCAACAAATTCACTTTTAATCTCTTGGATATCCATCATACACAAGGTGCTAGGTGAATATAGTCAAGTCACATAAATTAATAGAAGAGTCATTGTCTCCAAAGACTGCAAGTACACAAGGCACACACAGTATTACCTATGGTAGGGTTTGGGAAGTATGGTGCAGAAGTTGTCATAAAGTCACACTCTGGAGGAGAAGAGATCCATCTTTCCTGTCATGAAATAGACAGAAGGCTTTGAAGAAGCTGACTTTTGAGTTGGTCCTAGAAGGATGGTTATTATTTTGATAAAAGAGGGGGGAAAAACTTGGTAATCATTCCAAGAAGAGCAAGCACCATGTGTGCAGCTAAGGAGCAAGGGGAGTGAATTCCTAAGTATTAACAACCTAATGTGTATGAGGTACTCTGCTACCTCTACAGGCAAAAAATAAAAATAAAAACATAAAGCAAGTTTGATCAGAGCAGGTTGCATGAAATTTATGAAATGGAGGTTCATAAATTCAAGTAGCGGTGCTACCAAAATTGCATGCAGCAGGAAAGAGTGTAAGAAAACTTAATAACTCTATCCCATACCATTTAAGAGACGATAGGACCATCCAAAGCATTCTCTGCAGTCTGTGATCCAAAAATGCAGGAGTAGAGTGAGAAATAAGGCTGGAAATGTAGTTAGAAATAATTATATGAAGTATTTAAATGCCCAAATTCAAATTTTATAGTTTGTCTTGAAAGCATTGGGAGTCATTAAATGTTTGAGGGTTGGGTATATCTCTAAATGATGTTTCAGACATGGGCTTTTACTTAAAAGCATTATATACTAGTAGTTTTTGCTTTATTTCAATTTACTTTCAATTCCATAGAACATTCTATTTCTGTAATGCTTGCTTCATTTCATCATTTGCTTAGCTCTGGCAGCAGTCTATTTCCATGTGCCTTATTTCCCACCTGCCTTCCTATTTCATCATTTATTTCTGTATCTCATGAGGACGACTGTACTCAGCTCTTCACGTGGATGGACTAACATCATAGCAGCCCCCTGCGGAAGGTAACTGCTCTCCAATGCTTAGAGCAATACCCCAGCACCTAAAACAGCTTATCACATTGTAGGTGCCTAATAATTACATGTTGTTAAGCAAATCCCTATCTTACAGATGACAAAATGGAACATGTAGAGGTTAGATGAGCTGCGCAGGGTCACAAGACTCTGAAGTTCTGAAGCTGGGCTTCCAACTCAGAAGGGAGATTCACAACTGTCACTGCAATTCTTCATTTGTTTCGTAGATGTTCTTATTCTCCTTCTATGCAACATTGCTCTTTTTTATATATATGCAGTCTTTTCAATGGTCTAGCTTGGCATTTGCCATTTTCTATCAGTTTATGAATCAAATAATCCAAAAATTTCTTTATTGTTTCCATGGCCCAGTGACGTGAAATACCTCCCTTCTCTTGGGCTTGGTGCCTCCTTTTCTCTGGACCTTTATCTCTGGGTTTCTGGTTGTTACACCTGAAGTTATGAGAATCAGAAAAGCATTCATTGAAACACAAATACCAGATGGGTCGGATCATAAAAAAGGTGAGTTATAGGAAATTGGTTACAATTCCAGTTCTTGTGTGTAGAAACCCACATGCACGCACGCACGTGTGCACACACACACACACACACACACGTGCACACACACACACACTCAGCCAACCTGGGCCTGCAATTAGTCTTCTGGTACTACCTTTATGATAAACCATATGTTTCCTTATCCATGGTTGTATGCTTAGCAGTTCTGAAATCTTTAGCAGAGTACTAATTACATTTATGCATATGGGTGTGTTTTTTTAAGTTTCTAGAGTGTTCCTGGCAATTTTATGTGTTTAGACATTTGGTAAATAATCTTCCCCAATAGATGGTACTATCTTTGAAGATGAGAATCAGATTTACTTCACATAGCAATTTCCCTTCCATATCCCTCCATATAGGAAATGCTGCGTAAATTCTCCATGTACACACATGCACACGTATACACTTGCACACTTACACATGTACACACACATGGTAGTGACCTGCTCTCTTTCAAACACAGTTATCTAAACTGTATTTTGGAAGAAAGTGTTCTCCTTTCTTGACTGGCTCTCTTGTAAAAGTTCATAGAGAGAAAAGCAAGTGCCTTCGTTTTCTATTTAATTTCATATTCTGCGGTAAGCAGGATTTTTGTTTATAGCATATTTGAAGGAAGGCCCACATATGCCATGACCTTTTGCATGATTTTAAAGAATGCATTTGGCAGTCTCATAGCAAGCAAGATTATAATTTCCTATATTACTCATAAGTGTAGCTATTGAGCATCTAGATTATGTAGGTACTCCAGATAAATATCATATACAGTCCTTTAGCAAAAAAAAAAAAAAAAAAAAAAAACCTCTCAGACTTATTTGAGAAAGAAAATATAATAACACTAAAATAAGTTAATTAAAATTTATTATAAGGAACAAATAAGCAATTTAGGCCTCCAATGCAAAGAGCAGCCAAAATAAGATTATTTGATAGTAAAATGACCAAGAGGTATAAACAGGAAATCCACAAGCTATAGAGCCAAAATATCAAATAAGCATTTGAAAACATACACAATCTCATTGGTTATTCAAGAAACGTGAATGGAAATGATTAGCATAAAACTCACATTTAAAATGGACCAAAAACGTTTAAGATGATAAAGCCCAGAATTGATATTTCTAAAATTCAACTCTATTTCTGGGGAAAATATTTATCAAATCCATTTATAATCTATATTATCACTTGACTCAGCAGTTCTACACATAGACTTTATCTTAGAAAATAATTAGGCAAAGTTAAGTTTCAGCGATGTGAATCTCAGGATTGTTTATAAAAGTGAAAAATTGAAAACTGCGTAACTGTCACAATGGGCAATTAGTTTAATGGGTTATGGTGTGCTCATGCAATTGAGAAAGTACTGCGCATCAATTAATTGGATGCTTCAGGCATCAAAGATGTTTGTGACGCATCGCTTTTAGTATTAAAAAAAAAAAAGGCCTCTTACAAAACAGTGTCCGTGGCATGATCCCACTTTCATAAAGACAAAACAAAACTCTCTAAGGGGGTGGTGGGTATGTAAAATAAAGGAGCAATTGTTGCAATGTTAAATGTATCTCAGCTGTGAATAACATCTGCATGCCTTGATAATGCGAACTGAGCACTGCTATCAGCAAACAGAGTGATATAAAGGTACTGCAGACAATGGGAGGGGCTGTGTGTGTGTGAGGCGCTATACCCAGGCCAGATTCCCTTCTCCTGAAAAAGTAAGTCGATGGGTAACATCTAAAATAAAAGTCAGTAACAGTATGAAGATACTATGTAGAATTATATGCCAGAATGAAAAATAAAAGGATTGAAAGCAGGTAATGCACCAGGTTTTACTCTACGGCATTTTTTTTTTTAAATCTGCTTCTAATTTAATTGCATTCCTTCAAACAATGGTTGGGGTTCTTTCTTATTTACTGCCTTAGTCCATTCTGGATGCCATAAGAGAATACCACAGACTGGGTGGCTTATAAACAACAGAATTTTTTTTCTCACTGTTCTGGGGGCTGGGAAGTTCAAGATCAAGGAGCCAGCATAGTCAGAACCTGGTGAAGCCCTCTTCCTGGTTCATAGCCCTGTTTCCTCTCTGTGTACTCAATTGTGGGGGGAGGGGGCCCTAGGGAGCTCTCTGGAGCCTCTTTTATAGGCACTAACCCCATTCGTGAGGGCTCCACCTTTCAGACTTAAGCCTTTCCTAAGGCCCCCACCTACAAAACCAGAACATCAGGCAGAAGGAACTCAGCACACAGCTCTGGGAAGACATAAAACATGCAGTCCTGGTAGGCATTTCCTCCTAGGCCTTTTTGGAACTGCTCCAGCTTCTTAGATCTCAGAATTGGTATCTTTCATCAATCCTGGTCTCTTTAAAATGTATTAAAATATAGTTGGCATACAATATTGTTAGTTTCTGGTGGACAACAGTAATTTGCCATTTATACACGTTCTGATATGATCACCATGCTAAGTCTATACCCATCTGTCGCCATGCAAAGCTTTGCTATTATTGACTATATTCCCTGTGCTGTACACAGCTTCCCTATGACTTATTTATCTTATGGCTAGAAGTTTGTATCTCTTATTCCCCTTCATCTTTTTCACCCATTACCTCACCCACTTCCCCTCCAGCAACTATCACTTTGTTCTCTGTAACAATGAGTCTGTTTTTGTTGTGTTTGTTTATTTGTTTTATTTTATTGGATTCCACAGATAAATGAAATCATATGGTATTTGTCTTTTTCTGCCTAACTTACTTCACTTAGCATAATACCTTCCAAATTCATATCTACCATATATCCATCTAACTATTGACTCTTCCAACTACAACGAGGTATCATCTCACAGTTGCCAGAATGGCTGCCATCAATAAATCAACAAACAATAAGTGCTGGTGAGGATGTGGAAAAGAGGGAACCCTCATGCACTGCTGGTGGGAATGCAGACTGGTGCAGCCACTGGGGAGTTTCCCAAAAAAATTAAAAATGGAACTCCCTTTTGGCCCAGCAGTCCCTCTTCTGGGTATATATCCTAAGAATCCCAAAACACCAATCAGAAAGAATATATGAACCGCTATGTTCACAGCAGCATTATTTACCATTGCCAAGATCTGGAAACAGCCAAAGTGTGGATCAGCAGATGAGAGGACAAAAAAAAAAAATGTGTGGTACATTTACACATTGGAATACTATGCAGCTGTAAAACAGAAGAAACTCCTACTCTTTGTAACAGCATGGAGGGACCTGGAGATTATTATGTTAGTCGAAATAAGCCTGTCAAAGAAAGACAAATACCATATGATCTCACTTATATGTGGAATCTAACAAACAAAATAAACTGATGAACAAAATAGAACCAGAGTCATGGATATGTGGAACAGACTGACAGCTGGGAGAGGAAGGGCAAAGTGTGGGCTAGATTAAAGAAGTTGAAGAGATTAGCCAAAGAGCATGTATGTATAGGCAAAGACTCAGACAATAGAGTGGTAAAGGCCAGGGGAGGGTTGGCAGAGGCTGGGTGGAGGTGGGCAAGGGAGGAGGGGGAGAATGGGAAACATCAATAATAGCATCAACAATTTAAAAAGAAAATAACTAAATAACTGTGACTGTGAGTGTGTGTGTGTGTGTGTGTGTGTGTGTGTGTGTGTGTGTGTGTTGGCTCTTCCCCCTCCTTCTTCATTCTCTCTTCCCCTTCTAGAACTCTGATTAAGTATCTTCTTCTCTTTTTTTACCTCAGTACTGTAGTCTAGTATTTATTTATATCTCTTGCCTAGCTTACTAATTCTCTCTTCTACTGGGTCTTGTCTGCTGTTAAACTCATACAGTGAGCTTTTAAATTACATTTATTATTTTACTTTTTTTAAAATCTGATTATTTTCATTGCCTCTTGTACTTTGCTCATAAATTTAATCTCTTCTTTATTGCTTTAGATACCGGTATGTCTGTTTTATAATGTCTTGGACAATTTCTGTATCTGAAATCTTTCCATGTTTGATATTGGTGTCTCTCATTTCTGCTGCCTCTCACTCATGGTAACTTGCTCCATTGTTATTTTGGCATTTGCTATAGAATAATACTTTTGGAAGTTTTCTTAGGAATTTTTGGAGACCTCGTTTAAAAGTATGTTCCTTTATAGAAATCCTCCAAAGTGGCTTTGTGTTGAGTCTGCCAGGTGCCAGAGGTTATAACCAACCTATCATTACTTAGAATCAAATTATCTAAGGGTGGGGATTTTTCATAGATTTCAGTTGGCTTAAATGTGGGCTGCAACACAGTGGGAGGAATGCATGGATATAGATGTGCATTCAAAGGAAACATTTTTTCTTCCCTCAGGATACAGTTCCAAGGGAGGAAATTCTCCTTAGTGCCCCTTGAGTGTCAAGATAATTTTTAATTTAATTTTACATGGGTAGCCTTTAGGAGGGGGATCCCAGCACTAGAGATGCAGTCTCCTACTAAACAGCGCATCTTGGTCAGCCATGAGCAATACCTTCTGCTCCTTGAAACTGTCAAACAATAACATAAGGTCACCAATATTCAGCAAATATATTTTAGTACTCTGCTTATTCCAGTGGGTTTCTATTTTTACTTAATTTTAGCCTCTAAGAAATATAACAGCTTTTCTGTTATATTTGGAAAATTTTATTGCATTTTTAGCTCACATTTTAATTGTTTTCAGAGGATCAATAGCTCAGAGCCTCAAGTCTGCTCAGTCAGAAAAATAAGTCTAAAATTAATGTTTTTCACCACTGCCCTCGGATATTGAGCTCTGTGAACAAGGGATCATGTCTTCTTTATCCATCACCTGCAGCAGTGTGAGGAGCTCATTAAGAATTTGCTGATTAAGATTGTGAATGAATACAATTTTTATTAAAGTAGCCATTCAAAGATATATAATTTTATTTTCTCTGAGAACTAGAAATTTAATAAAAGAGTGGTGTTTTTTACATTTATTTATTAACCAAGAATATCTGTCTCCACAACTTGCCCACTCTTTTATCTGGAAGAGGTAACTTTTTATTTATTTTTTAAATATATTTTATTGATTTTTTTACTGAAAGGAAGGGAGAGGGATAGAGAGTTAGAAATATCAATGAGAGAGAAACATCACTCGGCTGCCTCCTGCATACTCCCTACTGGGGATGTGCCCGCAAACAAAGTATATGCCCTTGACCAGAATCGAACCTGGGACCCTTCATTCTGCAGGCCGACCCTCTATCCACTGAGCCAAACCAGTCAGGGCTGGAAGAGGAAACTGTTTAAATATAAGATGGCAGTAAGTTCAAGAAACAATGTGAAAAAAAGAGAATATTGTAGAAGAATTTACCATATTCAGAGAAATTCAATGAAGTTAAAAACCTCCAGAAAGACAACTGGAGCTCATTTACCTCAGTCATTAAATATTCCTGATATTAAACCCTGATCACGAAATATGCAAATTTATTGTACCTCCACTACACCCACAAGCCATGCCCAACAGCCAATCAGGAGCAAGTATGCAAATTAATCCAACCAAGATGGCAGCAGCCACAGAGTTGGAGTGAGCAGTAGGCTTGGGTTGTCCCGGGTGATGGAGGAAGCCAAGTTTCCTGCCCACTGTGACTGGCCCTTGCCTCCTTGCCTCTGCTCAAGGCTACAAAGTTTCAATTATAGAAGATAAATAAATCCCAAATACCTGCTTCCAGCCGGCCCTGGACTCCACTCAAGGAGGTGCTGGGAAAAAAAAAAAAAAAAGGAGGGGCTGGAAGCTTGGGTCACTGGGGGCCGTGGCTAACCTACAAACAGCCATCAGCCCCTCATCCAGGCTGGCCACATCTCCATGGGGTGAGGGTCTCCATGGGGGGCTTGGCCAGACTGCAAACAGCCACATATACTGAAGCAGAAAGGTTGAAAATGATGGTAGTATCTAAATCAGAGGCTAACAAAGAAGAGCATAGCAAATGAATCAGAAGGAAGGAAATCATAAAGGTAAGAGCAGAAGATAATAACATTACAGACAAAGACACAGTCAAAAAGGGTCACAAGAGGAAAAATGGCTCTTTCAGAAGCAAATGAAATGGACAAACATCTGGCTAACATATCAAAAGAAGAGAAATTTAAAATAAATAGCACTCTGAATAGAAAGAACATTGAGATGCACTAGAAAATAAAGGAAAAACTTATAAACAATATGAGTAAATTTGAAAACAGATTAAACAGGAAATTTTTTGGGAAAATGTAACAATATAACTGGCTTATGAAGAAATATAACATGTGAGCATCCATGTTACTGTCAGAGACACTGCCAGACCTCTGGGCCCCCTGCTGCTGCCCTCCCTCCACGCACACGCAAACGCCATGCCAAGCCTCGCTGGTTTTACAGGTAAGTTCTGCCTTCAAGAAACGAGTAATTTTAATATCATAAAATTGCTTTTGAAAGATAGAAAAAGGAAGATAGCTATTCAGCTCATTTTATGAGGCCATAAAACCTTGAAACAAAACTGAAAGAAAAACTGTAGGCCACTTTCATACATGCACAAAAAGGCACATGCATTAAATGCTACATTATTTGTTAAATCTGGCCATGTAATTTCTTCACTCATTGCTAATCATGATCCAAGAACATAAAAATGGCTTAGATCAATGAATATAATCCTTACATTAACATAATAAATGAGAAAATTTATTCCAATAGAAGCAGAAAAGGCATTTAATACAATTCAATGATCAATCTTGATTTAACAAATATACCTTCCCCCAAATAAATCCTGTTAAGCAAACTGGGAATCAATGAAATCTGTTAACTTAATAAAGTATTTTTTTCAACCCTGCTGGTGTGGTTCAGTGGTTGAGCATCGACCCATGAACAAGGAAGTCACAGTTGGATTCCAGGTCAGGGCACATTCCTGGGTTGCAGGCTTGGTCTCCAGAGGGGATGTGCAGGAGGCAGCAGATCGGTGATTCTCTATCACCACTGATGTTTCTAACCTCTCTCTTCCTCTCCTATCCTCTCTGAAATCAATACATATATATATATATATATATATATATATATATATATATATATATATAATTTTTTTAAAGCATTGCAAATATTGAAATGAACAATGTTAAAAACATAAGGATACCCTCCTCTTTCTACTTTCATTGTTTTACTATAGGTCCTTTTCAGCATAATGAGAAAATTAAAAAAAAACAATTAAAAGATTGAAATGTTGATAATAGCAGCCTTATTCAAAATAGTCAGAAATTCAAAATAGCCCACATATTTGTTAACAACAGAATGGGTAAACAAACTGATGAATACTATTCAGTCAAACAAGAACGAAGTACTAATACAGATGACAATATAAGTGAGTCTTAAAGCAATACTGTGCTAGGCAAAAGCAGTGTCCCAAAATAAAATATACTGCAGGCTCCATTTGCATGAAGTTCAAGGTCAGAAAACACTTACTTATAGTCACAGAAAGCAGTTGTTTGTCTAGGTTTGGGAGGTAGGAACTGACTGCAGGGAAGCATGAGGGAACTTTTTGGAGAGATGAAAGTGCTCCGTGTCTTAATCAGGGTGTTAGTTTACACAATTGTATACAGTTGTCAGATTAATTGAACAAAAAAAATTATAACCTGTGAATTTTATTATGTGGGAATTATATCTCAATTTTTAAAACACAATACATACACACACAAATATTAAAGGTTGGGGAAAAGCAAGTAATGTAATTATACATAAAATATATGCTTAGATAGAATATCCAAGAGAATCTACAAATAAATATTAGTGCTTATAAGAAAGTTCAGCAAGTTTGCTAGAAATCAATATACAAAAATCAATAATTTTGTTCAAGAACATCATTAACCATAGCAGTAAAAGCTTTTAAGTGCCCAGAAATAAATCTAACAAACGGTGTGTAACATTTTTATGGAGAAAACAACAAAACCTTATTGAAGGGGGGAAGAAACAAAGATTCACTATATTCATGGA